ATATATAAGTGTATAAGTATGTAAGTTAACTTGTAAATGATAACACAATTTTATATTATAGGTAAGCATTTTGTTTTAATAAACCGCATGAACGCGAAGAGATGCTTCACTGTTATTTGTTTMACTGGTRAATATTACATAATAATAAAATACACTATTAAATGACAATTATCTACTCAAATTGCTAATTGCTTGTATGTACCTCAATAATAAATTAATACTAGAAGAGACATTTTGTGATAATAATCCAAAAAAAAAGCCAATGGCGAATCTGCCTGACATTTCTTGGGTACGCAATTCAACCTACACGCCAATACAACAACCTAGGTGACCTGGATGAACTTTTTCACAATTCACAATAATTTAGACAAACTTATGCTGTGTCAAACTTTTGGCACTGTTTCGATGCATCCACAAGCGATAGATTTCAATGATATAAATATACAGTGAAATCTTTAAATACTGCCAATACTAGAAATTTTGTCAGATATATAAACTTCAGTGTCATAGATTTATGGTATAAAATACTATAAATAGGACAGATAGGTAATAKACTAATAGCTTAAAAGTTAAAACTAATCTAAATATTTTGAAAATTTAATTATTTGTATAATATTTGTCAAACGTTTTGTTATTTAAGAAAATTAGAATAATATGTGTTCCATTGAATGCAACATATTATGTCTAYAGCCTGTCTGGTGGTGTAGTGTGTATAACTAATGCTAGGAATTATATGCATTAAAAAATTGTAAAATATGCAAAAATGAACATTTATTATTTCTAGAGCTATTATTACATTAAATTATAGTTAATATTCTTAAATGCTGTTATAATATATTGTTTTAAATTTTCAAATACAAATGATCGGCATTTTGAACTTAGAAAATAGAATTTTAACGACTAAAAATCCTTTCCATGTCACTCAACCTTATTGAAGCATATTTAAATGATGTGAACTGTCTCTGAGTTCAAGTAATATTAAATATTCTCTTTTTGTTTCACATTCACAGTTTATTATGCAACACATTTTTAGAAGTATTTTGATTGTTTTAAATCCTTAATTCTTCTTTAGTACCAAACCCATAATAGTTTTTACCAATTCT